TTGGCAGGATATATAGGTTGATTTCACAACAGGTCTACCCAAATCAAACGGGTATGATTCAGTAATGGTGGTAGTGGATTGCTTCTCCAAAGAAGTAGTGTTCATCCCCACCAACAAAACCATTACCGCCGCTGGTATGGCATATCTATTTAAAGATTTTGTATGGTTTATCCATGGATTGCCAGAAATGGTTATCTCCGATAGGGGACCACAATTTGCTAGTGAATTTACAAAAGAGTTATGCCGGATGCTGGGCATCAAACCTAAATTATCAACAGTGTTCCATTTGCAGACTGATGAACAAACAGAGAGGCTCAATCAGGAATTGAAGCAATATCTCTGGATATTTATTAATGACAGGCAGACAGATTGGGCCAAGTGGCTAAAGATAGCCCAGTTCTCATACAATATCAAACAGTCGTCAGCTACAGGAAAAGCACCATTCGAGGTTACAAAATTATACCTTCCTAGAATGGGTGTAGAACCTGGCAAAAGCAAGAACAAGTCTGCTGGGAACATGGCCAAGGACATGAAGTCTGTCTTACATGAAACATGTAGAACCTGGCAAAAGCAATAACAAGGCTGCTGAGATGGCCAAGGACATGAAGTCTGTCTTAGACGAAACACGCAAAGCGCTATTCAAAACTGCAGAGCAGATGAAAGACAGGGCAAAGCATAGACACTCTAAGGCCCCTGGTTACAAGGTTGGCGACCTGGTCTGGTTCAATACTGACCACTTAAAATTAAAAGATCGGCAGTCCAGAAAACTGACCAAAAAGTGGATTGGTCCTTACCAGATTAAGGAAGTCAAACCCAATGCGGTGGAGCTGGAACTCCCAAAACAAATGAGGGTAGTACCCACGGTCAATATTAGCCATGTGAAACCCTACAAAGGGCCGCTGCCGGGACAGCGCGTAGACCGGCCCGGACCGGTTGTAGTCACCCAGGAAGGTGAAAAAGAGTTTGAAGTTGAATGAGTAGTGGATGCACGCTTGAAGCGTGGAAAATTAGAGTTCCTAGTCCTATGGAGGGGCTATGGAGACGAGGACAGAACATGGGAACCAAAAGCCCATCTGAACAATTCCCGCGATGCTGTTTGCAAATTTTATTCTAAGAATTCCTTGGCTCCTAGGAAGCTTAGAGGCATGGATTCAACAACCTTTTTAATTCCCTTTTTCAACCTATGCCCGAAAATTCAACTACTACCTCTGGTATTTGGTCTCGCCTGGAAGTCGAGCCTTAGGAGGGGGGTAGTGTTACGATACACAATTTTCGGACCTTTAATTTTCATTCTCCTCTTTAACCTTTTTCTGTAGTTTTCACACATTGTGCCATGCGGCACTTTCCCTTCTGTTCAAACTCCTCTTTCTCGCGCTGCGCTGCCTTTATTCTTATTTAGCTACAAGTCTCTCACACAGTGGAGCTGGTCACACGGGCTGCACCCTCTGACATCATCAGCCACTGCTTTTATCAACTGTACAGTACATAAGTACAAACACTCTGTATTAGTATATATACCTCAATAGATCCAGGAGACTCCTCAGCAAGTCCTCCTGTTGTATCCTCACAACTAACTTGTTGAAACCTAAAGGGTAAACACTCCCTCTTCATTATCTTTTGGCTTGTCTGAGTTGTGCGCCAGAGTAACTAACTCTTGGTTGTTACAGT